GAAAGAGTTCAAACTTGAGCTGTTCGATCCCAAGTCTAATTGGTTTGGCAACGCCTAATGAAAATCAACATTTGCAATGCTAGTTTTCCCAGTATAATTTTGATGTTCAGACATTCTAGGATGACTGATTCGTATGATTCACTTTTTGAAGTACACATAACTCTCGGATTTAAATCCGAAGTTTCCGCATTTATTTTAGGTTCCATACAGTTCCTTTTTTTACAGTGTAGGCATGCACCGAGCTCGAACCTTCCGGGTTCGGTCTGTTCCCGGGTTCGGTCATTTTCGGATTCGGTCATTCTCGAGTTCGGTATTCCTGCTACCGGGAATATCGGGTATGGTCATTCATATAGTTCCATCAACAGTAATCAACAATCAAGAATACCGATACATAATTAGTTTGTGAAGATTTTATATCAAAGCAAGTAACTCACACAAATCACTATGGGATAATGTCGATGGCGATAGACGATGGAGCAAAATGAATTGATATTTCCATTCTCCATATTTTCAAGTGAAACAAATACTCACTTATTTACCATTAGTCAGTTTATTTTTGTCGTTAGCGAAATTCTAGAATGATTTTGTTCCGTCTTGGTATTTTATAAAGAGAATAAGCTCTCTAAATATAATGAATACTATATCATAAGACATAAAATATTCGACGTTGATTTTCTCATTTGTGTGAATATATTTTACAAAAATAGTGTTATACTACCAGGTTCTTAACACGCACGCACACATTGTTTCAATCAATAAGTTATGTGAATCGTAAACTTTCGTAAAAAATATAGAAGGATTTGAACGTAAATAACCATTATTCATTAATGTCATAGAGCAAATATATCTTTCATAATACAAATAAACCAATTTGTGAATAAGCGCGACAACTATCTCGTCTAAATTTTTATTGCAGAATAATACCTATTAGTGGAAGGGAGGGAAAAATAACGTACAGTCAAACAAAATAAAAATATTCGAAAAAGAAACTACGTCTTGCTTCATATTAACAAACAAAAATATATTAGTTTATTTGTTTCTCAAGTGATTTATTAAACTTATTTTATCTCAAAAATGGTCAAAATTGCAGGAAGAAAGGTGAATGAAACAGTTCATCCGGTTTCAAACGATAACTCATTTCTTGACCAGAACGATGCAACTGCATCAAATACAACATCAAATAATAATCTATCAGATGATAATGCTAATGTGCTAGAAGATGATGATATTGAAAATTGAGATTATAATAAACCATCAAGGGTGTGGGTGTGGGTGCGTGTGCAGCTGTTCTCTTCATCAGCCCTCATACTTACACTCCCACTCGACACCCACACCCAGACCCAATATTTTCTGCCCCTCTTCTCGTTTCTTTTAGATACATAAATTTTGCAAGGAAAACATTCGGTCAAGTACGAATAGTATCCTTAGTAATGCGATACTATCTTTATCGGAACGGGTGTGGGTGTGTGTGGATGGGTGTAGGTATCTTATCCGAATACGCCCACACCCACACACCCACACTCTCCCACACCCTCCGACACCCACACCCACGCACCCACACCCACACACCCACACCCACACACCCACACCCACACACCCATACCCATACTCCCACACCCACACACCCACACCCACACACCCATACCCACACACCCACACCCACACACCCACACCCACACACCCACACCCACACACTCACGCCCGCACATCCACACCCACGCACTACTAGAAGTGAACTGTTCATGAAAATTAACATCTCGCAAAATTTTTTTAAGAAAACAGAATCGTGCCGAATGTGTTAATAAACAAAAATCTAATATTATTTTCTGTCCAATGTATAATTGTAAAAATGAAAACACAATTCATCGATGTCATCAGGCAAATACAAATTTAAAATGATTAATCGAGTATACTTCGGTATTTACTTTTACTGGGCTCATTTTATACTTTGTGTATAAATGAAGATTAATTATGAATTGTCTTTGAGAACAAACAATAATAGATTATTTGCTAAAACATGCAAAAGTGTCACATGAGTGTATTATGTCTATGTAATTTTCGCGAATATTTTTCTTTCTAATATATGATCTTTTTTTCAATTTAAAATGATATATTTCATCTATAGTAGTATCTGTAATATTATTATAATTTTAAAATTAATTTATTTATATTTTCTTTTTAATGAGATTGCGTAATCGTTATGATAATAAAAAATATTCACTATTTCAAGCCATTTTATTTATTTGGACAAAATATTTAAGGAATAAATACAGATCAGTTATTTTTCTTTTAAAGATAACGTTTACTTCGTTGTAGTTTGTAGAATCTTTATCATACAAATACAATCTAAGATCACAAACAATTGGAAACTTTTAAACAAATTTTTTCATCAATTTTTAGGAAAAATTATTGAAAAAATCCTGAAAAATCAGTTACATTCAAGATAGGATGAGATAAGAATTAACATACACAATATCACTATTTATTCACTGCATATGAATATGATAGAAGACCAATACTGATTTATTTTTCAAAAATATAATTCTTCTCAGAGGATTCCTTAAAATATATTTACCACTAATTTTTCACTGCATTTATTTCAATATTTTGCACAAATGATTTTCTACATGAAAATCTTTCAATATATTTTGTTTCGTTTTTTTTTCTACATTATTTTATCATAGCTGTGCATAAAAAACAGTGATACTATTTCTTGTAACTGCTCATTCTAGTGATTGCTGATGTTGAATTCTTCTTCTAGATGACAAAATAAAAATTTTATCTGTTTTTTGTTGAAAGACGCTTTTGTATTTTACAGAGAAGATAATCAACTTCATTTTTCTACCAACAAACTTCAAAATAGTGCATAAAGACGTATAATTCTTCTTTCCTGTTAAGGACGAATTTTCTCAAGAATATGAGACAAATCCAATGCAGTCTTCATCGATAATATAAGAACATTTATCAGACACTACTATTAGCTAACTATGCACAAGCTTTTATTTATTTCAAATCAAAAATGAATCACATACATATACTCATATGTATTGATAAAGCATACCCATACAATTATTAATGTGAGAACGAGGAAAAGAAGCAAAAAACTTATGAAGAGCGAGCAGAGTGAAAAAGCAAGAAAAAGATAATGGAACTATCAGCTTTAATAAGAATATAGTAAAACTACTTAAAATGATATAATATCTATAGAATTGTTATTTGCTCTAGTTTGAAGGACAGAAACCATTGCCTTTGTATGAAGAACAAACGTTCAAGGCAATATCATCAATGCCTATGTCATTTCCACCGCCACCAGGAGCATCAGATATCATTAACAGGTTAACTGTACTGCTCGATGTTATGAATGAAAGACCATATTTTTTCCATGTCAAAGTCTTCTCTTCTGGTATCTCTCCTGAAGATAATTTGGCAAGTAATCGATTTTCAAGTGATGGACTTCGAACTTCAAATCGAACATTTGGTTTTATGTCACCACCTATGCTCATAAGATTCGCCAAGTAGACAGAAAATTCATAACGTAGACCAATACATAAATCATTGACTGTGCCATTATAAAACTGACCAGGTCGCTCGTCAGCATTAACTATAAACATGTATCCACCCGGATCACCTGTATGATCTCTTGCATTGGTGTGCCAGTGTCCGTCGAAATCATCATGGATTGAATTGATAAAACTGAATGAGCCATCGTATGTTTTAGGTTCAAATTTTTGCTTGTATGTCGTACTGAAATTGAAACGACTAGGTATAGCCTGAGAATATTGACTGGAGCCATTTCCAAATGTGATCAATAGAATGGGTTTTTTCCCAAACGTTTCATTTTCAGGACATAACTCAGTGGATTCTTGTAGAAAAAACAAGAACAATTTATACGTAAAAGTACATCGAAAAATCAAGAAAACGTAACACTTACGAACTTCACAAGTTGGACCAGAGAAACCACTTGGACATGTGCAATTATTTTGGCTAGTGCATGTTCCATTATTTTTACATTCAGGAACACAAGTAACTGAAATAGCAAAATAAATTTAAGTCAAATTGAGCATTTCTAATACACAAATGAAGCAAACGTTATAACATTTATATGACAAATCGAAAGTACGATAATTTCAAGTTGAAATCTTGTAAGATATACTCTACTGTGCTAATCATCTAATAGTACGAAAACTATCACTTTTAGAACTAAAATAAATGAGAAAATAATGAATGACTTTTGGAAGATGTATCTTTCTGTAATTTAGTGTGAAATCATCCAAAAAAGCTACATTCATCTTTTTACTAGTTTCTTTTGATTACTTTCATATCATATGTGCACAAAACAAAGTAATAACAAAAATCAAACAATGATAACAAAAAATTAACCGGTAGCTAAACTGATCATAGTTTGACGTTATCAAAAGTGAATACTCTAAATTAATCTCACATGCCATGCATACAATGATCGGACAGATTGTCACAGAACAATCTGTTACAATATTTTAAAGAACAAAATATTTGTGTCAATCAATTGATTTTTCTAGAGAATGATAAAAAAAAGTAAAAAAATAATAAGAAAAGACTATACACTCTAAAAAAAATCCGTTTTCTCACAAACCTAAACCCCTTCGGAAACCGTTTCGGAAACCCATAAAGATATCCGGACGCTAATTGAGTTTCCGAAAATACTGGCCGCGTTTCCGAGTCTCCAAAAACCAATGGGTTTCCGAGAATACGGTTGCGGAAACGTCATCCGTATTCTCGGAAACCCTGGGGTATTTTTGAGAAACGAAAGGTTTCTGAGGAAACCTTTTTCGATTCCAAAACCTTCTCGGAAACCATAGACGTATCCTTGAATACTTTTGCGTTTCCGATATTTTTTTGTCGAAAATCTTTTCGGGTTTCCGAGCGTCGGAAACCGTGGAAACATTTCCAGGAATACTCGTATGGTTTCCGAAGTTATCTCAAAAACCCTATAGGATTTCCGAACCTTTGGAAAACCTTTGAGTTTCCGAAAAAAAAGCTCGGAAACCCATTATGCTTATGAAAAACCCAAATATCAATCGAATATCTTCATCTTGACCTTCATGTTTCCACTGTATAATTTTCAGGTTTAACAGTTGCTCGATACGAATGACATGAGTTTTATTCAAGTGATGCGAAATTGTTTTGAAAAAGCATTGGAACTCTCATAACACAAAAAGAAGCGCTTTGTTCCCGAGAGTAAAAATTTGAATGCAGTATGACAAGTTTTACTGTGAAATCGGAGAGCAGCAAAGAAATACTAGGTTACTGAAAGAGACATGAAGACTCTGTATTAAGAGACTCGAAGACTGTGACTGACTTCGAGACTTTCACTGACTTTGAGACTTTGACTGACATCAACGTTCTGTATTAAAAGACTTGAAGACTATGACTCACTTTGACATACTGACTAACTTCCGATGTCAAAAGTCAGACGCCAGATCACATCAAATCCTATTAGATCTTGTGCATACAAGAATTTTTCTAAGCTCTGCACATCAAATCACTACAAGCATACATGCATTACTTATCTCCAACGTTTCATCCCATTCTAACTGTAAGTACTCAACAAAACTCTTGTAACGTGTGAAGATTAAGAAACTTATCACAACCGACCGAATTACTCAAGTCGGATATTATCAGATCAAATAAGATTCATAGACAAAACAACATACAGTAGACCCTAATGCAGATCCTGTCTGCTCTTTTCTTATCGTGTATGATCTCACCTGCAACATTTCTAATTCGGCAATCCCGACTCAATCTATTCTTATCTTGAATAAATATATATGAAAAAAATTTCCATGATTACACTAATATTCGTGAGATTTGCATTAGTAAAATGGTTATTACCTTCACGAGTAAATGTTTTGCAACGTAGCTTCTCAAAGCAAGAATTTACGTCTAAAATTTAAACAGAACTGAGAAATTTTCCTCTAACATGAATTACTTCTCGAAGAATGCAGATTACAGTACATAGTCTCCTATAAAAATCTAAGTCTTCTTTTCGATATCTCAAATGATATAGATTCATATATACCAATATCATTATCCCTGTCTCTGTTATATACATATCGAAGTCTTGTTTTGAATATCTCAGCCGATATAGATTAGGATATAGATATATCATTATTTCTGTACCTCTGATACAGAAATCTCAGTCTTTTTTGAATGTCTTGGTCGATATAGATCGAGATATAGATATACATTATTTCTGTCTCTCTGATATAGAAATCTAAGTTTTGATCTGTACAACTCACTCGATATATACTGAGATATAACAATATCATTATTTCTATATTTATAACATAGAAATCTAAGGTTTGTTTTAAATATCTCAATTGATATAGATTGAGCTACAGATGTATCACTATTTCTATATCTATGATATTCAAATCTAAGTTTTCTTTTCAATATCTCTGTCGATATAGATTGATATATAGATATATCATTATTCTCATATCTATGATATAGAAATCTAAGTTTTGTTCTCAATATCTCAATTCATATGGATTGAGATGTATGTACTGTATATATATTTATTTATTTCTATATCTATGATATAGACATGTAAGTTTTGTTTTCGATATTTCAATTGATATCGATTGAGATATATCTATATCAGTATTTCTAGAATTGGTCGAGCGGAAACCTTTGATAGTATGCAAAGTATCGAAAACCTGTGTAGGATTTCCGAAGTGGATGCCTTTTTGTAGTAGTCAAAACGGTTTCCGATAGGTTTGCGAGAGCTCGGAAACCTTTTCCCCGAAACCTATAAAGGGTTTCATATAGGGACAAACCAGAAAAATTCTCTATCGGTTTCCGAGAGCACTTATTTTTCTTAGAGTGTAGTTCTTATGAACATTGAGTATTGAATTGAAAAAAGGATTAATACATTTGGGAAAATTCGAAAAGCTTTTCCGATATCACATTGAAAGCATCTTTTCTATCGAACTCTTTAAGATTCTCTCAACGAAATAAATGTTCTATGTTACAATGCGAAGCTTTTGTATATTCCTAAAAACTGTTTTGTTGTGTAGGTCAATTGGTAGAGTTTTTTGTCAAGATTTGTTCGGATATATCTATAAAAAAGCCTTCACAGGTTTGGTAAATACATTAGTTCTTTTTTCAATTCAGTATTCAATAGTCACAAGAACTATAGTCTTTATTTATTATTTTTCTTCATTCTTTATTATTATTCTCTAAAGAGTCAGTTGATAACACACAAATATTTTTATGCGATCAAATATTTCAACATTTTGTCAATAACTATTTATTCTGGCAACGATTTGTCCATACAGCATTTTATCCTTGAGTCGAATTGTTCGGGATGTTTTGTCGTTTGACAATCTATTCTATTACTGTAATGGATTCCTATGCATTAACAATTCGAAAGATTGTGAAAACTTCTTTAGGATAGTTGAGAAAACCTACAGCAGGTAAAGATTTCAGTAACAGGTAGTCCTCAATAAGTTACAGATGTCACCTCAGATATCTAGACAAAGCTACCATTGCTCTTCTCATCATTTAACCTTCAGAAATAGGGGTGGCACTTTAACTTTATTTTATTTGGAAAAAGTAAAGTAAAGTAAAGCTGAGTAACTTTACTCTACCCAGTAAAGTAAAGAGATAGATTTAAGATGGTTACTAAGGGCACTTCGAGATTGTTCTACAAGGGTTGCTAAAGGTACCTCAAGTTAGCCTGTGGAAAGATACTTATAGTACTCCTTGATAATCCTTGAACAGTTATGAGGACTGCCCCTAGTTAACTATAGGAAAGTTGTGAGAATCATTCTTAGATAGCTTATAAATCAATAGAATAATTTGATTTGATTTAATTTAATTTTTAATTTAATATATTATAAAAAGCAAATAAGTTAAATTAAATCTATTTCAAATTTAAATTGTGAATAATTGAAATTTATTTAACTTTAGCAAGAGAATAACACTTTTGTTCTAGTTGTAGATATTCTTTAGAACTTATTCTTCTTTTCGTTGAAGATACTTCGATGGACACTTAAATTCACATGTGCAATTTCTCTTGTTTATTTTGCGAATAGTCTATTAAAAAACAGGTTACTGTTAAATAAGATTACAAGTAAACTAAAATCTGCAATGATAACTTTCGATCACGACTTGATTATTACCATATGAAAAAATAAACACAGAATAATAAACCTTGAAAAAGAGTTTGTTTATCTCATAAATTCTTACAAAAGTGTAAAACTAATGAACTCTTCGAGGATTGACTATTTTTTTTTTATAAACTCTTGAAGAGTTTATTATTTTTACACTGATGTGAGCATTTATGAAATGCAACCGCTAATAAAATGTTTGTAGAGTTTGTTATATTGTAATAAACACAAACAGGATTCATGAAAATTTTATGTAAGACTCATGAGACAAATAAACTCTTTTTGAAGGTTTATTATTCTACGTCTGTCTTTTACACTGCAAGAACGGTATGAACAACATCAAGCTTAATTATAAACAAGCTCTTGTGTGTATACAAAAACTATACAGGACATCTGATACTAAAACTGAATTAAAAATACAACTTTCACTCTTAATTCAATCACAATAACTCTTGACTAAGGACTAAAAGAACTTTTATTCTCTTTCTCTAATGTTTTTACAAATTTTGTACAGAGAGAGTGTATGAAATAAAGAGTGCTAATATATGTACAAATGAATAATCTCACAATGATCAGATCATGATGATGGAAATCGAACGAATGTATAACAATAATGAGTAGATTATGGAATCTTTTTCAATCTTCATATTATACAAATAAATAAGAGTAAAATCTGATTGAATAATAAAAAAAACAAAGCATCTCTAGTTCTGGGAAAGATCGAATTGAGCTTTTTGTTTACATAAATAATACAATCTAACTACACTTAAACTTCCTACTAACAATCTAGATTCACTTATCTCAACATACAACTCTACAGATGCTCAGATTCAACGAAAATCATGATGGTAGAAAAAAAACTGAGGCATCTTTTTTCATCATAATTACGATTAGTTCTAATAAACTTCAAGTGCAAGTTTGTCGAACAATCTTGGAACTATGAAAACAGGACTCTAATTTTGAGAGACATTACATCAACAATGATGACTTGTCATAGTTATGTGACTGTTAGAAATATCATGATTTGACCAACTGCAGTTGACAATCGGCTTGAAGTTTTGAATTTGTTTTTCTCGAACATTGAAATCATGAAAATCAACAAAAAAAGAAGAAAAAACACATCGGTTTCAGTACGCACAAAATCGACAAAAACCGAAGAAAAGTGGTCAGTTTGGAAAATTCAACCGGATTCGATCGGTTACATTTTACTAGTTCGACTTCAACCCTGGGCTACTCAGGCAGAAGTTAAGACCTAAAAATAGTTTTTAACTAATATTTACACTGACTTTTTCCCAAGCACACATCCTCCTTAGTCGATCTCGTATCTGCTTCGTTATCGATCGTTCGAACTTCTTCACTACGAAAGTATAATCAATAGTAGAAACACTTAATGTCTTAAGATTTGCTTCATATTTATAGGAATTCTTTTATCAATTGAGCTATTTATGTTGTATGATTTATTCTTAGAAGTTTTAATGTATCATACAAATCACTCATTCTCAATAATGCAAAGCTTTTTTTGAATCCTTATAATCATGTTACATCNNNNCCCCTTTTCACGACAAGTCCTAGCATGTTCGGGCTGATCCTAGGGTTATCGGGGACGGTCTTTCGAATGAGGGGTATATGTATAGGGCTGCGCCTTTTGTAGAGCTGAGAAATACAATCTTGAAATCTGTTTGATCAATTGAAATGGACCGATTATCACTTAGAGCCGGTGTAATTTATCGGCGGTCATAAACGATGGGCTTTCACGCTGGTCGTTTGTGATGGGTGTAATACTAAGGAAACGGTTGTTTACGATTGCTGGATACGATGCTTTGGAGCATTTTATCTCATATACGTATACGGTCGCCGTATTGTTAAAGTAGTCATTAACGGCAACTCTTTACAGTCACTGGTTACAATGGCTGTAATTGGTTGGTATACGGCCGCGTATGACCGAGCAGGATTGACCTGGGAATATACAGCATGATTCATCTATTTTTACTAGTTTTCTTCAGGTTGCTGTATATCTAAAAAACGTCAGAAGTTTTTTTATTTCTATGTGCTTTGGTAGAGCATTGATTACTCTATCTAACCATGTGGTCCTCATTTGATTTATTTCGTGTCTTAATAAGAAAAGAAAAGAATTTCCAAAAATGGTTAAATAAAAGTTTTGCAAAATCATATTTTACTCAGATCAAATTCGATTGTTGCAAAAATAATTTTAGATGCAAGAGATTCGTCTAACTTAAGATCGCACAAAGTATTGAATGAAACAGTTTTAGATGGGAGGAAGAAATTAAATTTTACTGTTGAAATTTTAGACACCTGTGCACTACTAAATTTTCGATACTATTCGCATGATCTCACTTTTACCTATAACACCCTACGACTAAATTAAATTAAAATTGCATGAATCAATACAGTAACTGTTGCTCTATTCAACCATATGTTAATGGGAAAGATTGTAACGATTAGGCAAGAATAATTTACTCGACAAGAATCAATAATTGAACTTTTACTAAAACAAATCGTTAGAAATTCACTAAACTCTCAGTAAAACTGAGGAATAAATTGAATGAAAAATAGATAGTTTGGTAGAAAAATGAATTCTCTATCGAGCTATATCAAGTTCAAAATGCTACTTTGTTCAATATGTAATAATCACTCGCATTATTTGAGAGAAACATCTAGAGATTTCACAGAAAAAAAATTATTTTTTTGTGTGCTTCTCGAAATTGGTTCCCTTTCTTATCAAGATACGAAAATAATCAAATGAGAACTATATGGTTAGATAGAGTAATGAATGCTTTACCAAATCATATAGAAATAAATAACTTCTGACGTTTTCGTAGAAATACAGCAAACTGAAGAAAAACTAGTAAAAATAGGTGAATCATGCTGTATCTTTGTTCACGAACATGATAGAAGGCTTACTTTTTTCAAAAGATGTCTCGGAGTGTGGGTGCCTCCCACATCCACACTCACACCAACCCACACCCATACCGAAACCCTTTTTTCCAATAAATCTTTATCTTAAAGCCACAGAAGAAACCTTCAGCGCTGTTAAAGAATTTATAGATTCTGTTTGAAAACAGCATGTATTAAACGAATAAAACAATCTATAAATAAAACAGAACCAATGTAATGCTGTCTTATTCTACACGAAAGACTGCTGTATCGGTTATAGTGATTTGAATTTTTTACATAAGATTTTTGTTGATGCAAATAAAGGCTTCTTTCCATTCAGTTGACGCTTTACTGAAAACAGTGCAAAGTCATCTTCACTAACATTCAAATCTCTACACAAGGGAGAACATATTGGTTTCTTCAATTAGAAGTGTAATTTTGTGTCAATGTAACATGATCGATCAGTTTTCAATTATCTTTGAGACGTAGATGGTACTATATAGTTTTGTTCTCCTCTTCATCTCATCGTGTTTAGTGTTTGTCCTCTTTGACTGAGTCTAGGGCGCTGCACGACAGTCCACACTCAAACCCTCTCGGTTTGAATTGTATTGATGTTAGTTTTGATGATGATGTTGTCGGTAATGATCAATCCAAGTTAATCGATCGTCAAGGCTCAAAGAAGATGTTCTCAATGGTAAACATAAGAAATATCACTAGGTCTAAGGTGTGTTGATAGAACAAATATCAGTATCACTAAGAAAAATAAAAATTCTCAACAGTCAATTGCTTTCATTTGATGGAAAAACATGTCTCTTCAATGCCCATTGAATCGATTGTCCATATAATTTAAGTGTATGCATATGTTGTTGACCGATGAGAACGTCGTATGAACCTGAATGAAGTCATTTGGTACCATCTCGTGCAATTGTTAATAAATGTCGAACAGTTAATGGAAAAAGAAACTTCTTTGGTTTGATTAACAGTTAAACTGATACGTTCAAAGCCAAACAATTATTTGATTGGTGATATTTCTTCATTCATTGTCGCATTACGTGATCTAGCAGATGCTAAGACAACATCATCACCTGATATATCACCAGTATTGGTCACATTGACTCGAAATAGTCGAACGAGAACTCGATGCTCATCATATTTTTTTTTATCAATGACAAAATCGAATACGATGACGAAATACTACTATCATTATTCCATGAGTAAAGAAATGTCGTATAGGAAAAACTACTTCCAAATTCGTATACTGCTTTGCCAGTATAAAATTTGTAGATTCGATCAGGATTTGTGCTCGATGATATCATCTGCATATCAAACATACTTACATCGTCGATATAGGATGCTGGCTGGATACATAGTAATTGGTAAACGTCCGCCAGGATTATATTGACCAAAAATAACGTTACTTATTGCTAAACTACCTGATTGTCCGGCATAACCCATCCAAATGAGACTGCCAAATTAAGGTGAAACACGAATGTAAGTTAGATCTAAACCACTATCAGATATAATTACAACATGAATAGGTGAACGGACGACTTTTTCAAGTTGGTGTATGAGAGAAAGTTGTATATCAGGTACAGTAATCGATGTATGATCAACACTTTCACCTTCAATCGATTGATCTAGTCCACCAAATAATATAACAATATCGGCCGACCTGGCCAATTCAATAGCCACTGAAAAACCACTCTCATCGGGATCCTTTATTTTACAACCGTTCATAAATTCAACATCAATCAATTTACCTTAAACTAATATGCAATAAAACGAGTTTTTTTCTCAATAAAATACCTGCTGTCATTGCTTTGATTGCTGCTCCTGGATCAATAAGAAATGGAGTTTTACCAAAATAACTTTCTTGCATTGATTCTGTTGCATTTGCCGTCGGTTCAATCAATGCAATTTTTTTGTTTATTAATGGATCAATATGTAATGGCATTGATCTATTAACATTCTTCAATAGAATAATACTATCTTGAGCACTTTCTAATGATAATTTTCGTGATTGAGGTGTATCGACATCGGCTTTTGTCAACTGTCGATAAAATTGTTGTTCAGGTGGATCAAACCAGCCGAGTCGAGTTAGAACATTGAATGTACGTTCAAGGGCACGATCAATATCTTTCTCAACAATAGNTCTGTAGGGAGGCTTAATCGATCGTCAAGGCTCAAAGAAGATGTTCTCAATGATAAACATGAGAAATATCAATAGGTCTAATATGTGTTAATACAGCAAATATTAGTATCACTAAGAAAAAGAAAAATTCTCAACTATTAAATGTTTTCATTTGATGGAAAAACACGTCTCTTCGATGTCCATTGAATCGATTGTCCATATAATTTAAGTGCATGCATTTGTTGTTGCCCGATGAGAATGCCCTATGAACCTGGATGAAGTCATTTGATACCATCTCGTGCAATTGTTAATAAATGTCGAACAGTTAATGGAAAAAAGATTTCTTTGGTTTGATTAACAGTTAAACTGATACGTTCAAAACCAAACAATTATTTGATTGGTGATATTTCTCCATTCATTATTGCATTACGTGATCTGGCAGATGCTAAGACAACATCATCACCTGATATATCACCAGTATTGGTCACATTGACTCGAAATAGTCGAACGAGAACTCGATGCTCATCATAGTTTTTTTTTATCAATGACAAAATCGAATACAATGACGAAATACTACTATCATTATTCCATGAGTAAAGAAATGTCGTATAGGAAAGACCACTTCCAAATTCGTATACTGCTTTGTCAATATAATATTTGTAGGTTCGATCAGGATTTGTGCTCGATGATATCATCTGCATATCAAACATACTTACATCGTCGACATAGGATGCTGAATACATAGTAATTGGTAAACGTCCACCAGGATTATATTGATCAAAAACAACGTTACTTATTGCTAAACCATCTGATTGTCCGGCATAACCCATCCAAATGAGACTGCCAAATTGAGGTGAATCATGAATGTAAGTTAGATCTAAACCACTACCAGACATAATTACAACATGAATAGATGAACGGACGACTTTTTCGAGTTGGTGTATGAGAGAAAATTGTATATCAGGTACGGTAATCGATGTACGATCAACACTTTCACCTTCAATCGATTGATCTAGTTCACCAAAGAATATAACAATATCGACCGACCTGGCCAATTCAATAGCCGCTGAAAAACCACTCTCATCGGGATCCTTTATTTTACAACCGTTCACAAATTCAACATCAATCAATTTACCTTAAACTAATATGCAATAAAACGAGTTTTTTTTCTCAATAAAATACCTGTTGCCATTGCTTTGATTGCTGTTACTGGATCAATAAGAAATGGAGCTTTACCAAAATAACTTCCTTGCATTGATTCTGTTGCATTTGCCGTCGGTTCAATCAATGCAATTTTTTTTGTTTTTTAATTGATCAATATGTAATGGCAATGATCTATTAACATTCTTCAATAGAATAATACTATCTTGAGCGCTTTCTAATGATAATTTTCGTGATTCAGGTGTATCGACATCGGCTTTTGTCAACTGTCGATAAAATTGTTGTTCAGGTGGATCAAACCAGCCGAGTTGAGTTAGAACATTGAATGCACGTTCAAGGGCACGATCAATATCTTTCTCAACAATAGTTTTGTTATCGAGTGACCCTTTTCTATGTTTTAAATAGAAATCACTACAATTGAGATCTGTATCGGTATGAAGAGCTACAGCAACTGTATCCTCTACAGTCGATGTATAATGATGAATC